TGTCCCCCCCCCCCCTGCCCCCCTTCCTCGCGGCAGCCCGGCTGAGCAGACAGCACTCAGCCAAGCGCCATGGTGGGGGGGAAGGGGAAGAGGAAGGGGGGTGGGGAGAGACAGGCAGGAGGAGGAGGAGAAGAGAGAGGGAGAGAAAGAGATGGAGAGAGAGGCAGGAAGTGGAGGAGAGCTGAGGAGGGGGGAGGCAATATGGAGAAAGAGAGAGAGAGAGAGCGCTCAGGAAAGAAGACCTGAAAATCCCGTTGGCTAGTTATACCATAGGTGATCCAATGAGGAATCCTTTTTTTGGTTTACTATTCTGGCCTTCAGGACAGTACAATGAAGTACATGCATTAATTTTAGCCCAGAAATGGAAAAAAGTTCCAGAAGAAGATTTTTTCCAAGATAAGTATTTTTAGGAGAATTCTAATTAGCAGTCCACCGTTTTGGCTAAATTATTTACTGCCATTAATCATACTGGATGAATTCCCTCTTGCTGGAAATCCAGTTCTTATTTTTTTTAAAAGGGATCAGAAAGATTCCTTCTTCATGTAGAGCTATTTACTACAGGTTTTTATTATCTGGACTTGAAATATGGGCTTTCGAGGCTAATGTATTAGGCAAGGGCTCCAGCTTTAGGTTTAGTAGAGCCACATTGGATAAGTGTTTTATCTCATATTATTGATAAATATAATGTGGTTAAGGATACTAGTTTATATGCTGCTTTCCTGTATCTAAAGATGGCATTTGATTCGATCAACCAAGATGAACTTTGGGCAAAATTAAAAAGGAAAGGTACTGATTTAAGACTTTTGCATAGTTTTGCAGCTCTATACCAGTGCAAAATAGTTAGGATAAGAACTAAAGCCTTTGGAAAATATACTAATGCATGAGTACACCAGCTTTGTTTTCCAGGGTCTCTTCTTTTTAATTTATATATTAATGAGGTGGTTGATATTGTAAAGGAAAATAAATTCTCTCCATTGCATTTAAGAGAGATCCAGTTCAGTGTTTGTTATGTGCTGATGGTATGGTTGTAATTACAATATCCAAGAGACCTCCAATGGCTATCCTCTTGTTTTTTCCTCTTATTGTAACTCTTGAGCCTAGTTCTCAATTATAACGAGCCCAAAGACATGATTTTGGGGATGAACCATTTGCAAATTGAATGGAGGATAGAAAGCTACAAGTCTCTGCTTTTACTTTATTAGGGATAGAGTTTCATCATTTGAGCCACTGGTCACCTTACCAAGAAAACCTAAGACAAAAGGTCCTTAATTCTGCCCAAGAGATGCTCTATCTGCTCACATGTTGGGAACAGAGCTGGCCCAGAGCTAGGAATCTTTGATGCAAAAACATAATATTGCACATGCTCTATGTGAGGGGGGAGGCAATAATTGTTGGTAGGGTACACTCCAAGAATGTGGAAAGTGGTCAAGGCTGCACTCTTCCATATTAATGGAGGAGATGTGGGGTCTGGAATAGAGGTTGGGTGCAGAAGGGAGCTTGCAGTAAGAGACTGGGGGGCAGGAGAGGGTGTAGGATCTGGGAGGGAGTTTGGGTGAAGGAGGCAATTGTGACCTGGGTTAGGAGACTTAGATGCTGAGGTTTGGGTTGTGACCTTGGATAAGAGGGATTTGTGACCTGGAGCAGGGGCAGGTTTTGGTTGTGATCTGGGGTAGTGGATTGGGGTGTAGAATCTGGGAAGGGATGTGGGGCCTGGAGTGGCAGCATAGAGTTTGGGTTATGTGGGGTAGGAGGGCAAAGGGTTGGGGAGCCAGAGGCAGACTCTGCCCAGAGCCTTGTCTACTTGACTCCCAGCCAGTAGCCTTCTCAAGCAGACTCCCTGCCCCCGCATTGGCTGCATGGGCCATGTGATTTTAGAAGCCTAAGGGGAAGGGGATGGAGGGTGCTTCACAAGCTTCCAGTTGACAGCAGACAGGTCCCATTGGCTAGAAACCAGTCAAAGGGATTGTGCTGGGGCAGGAGCAGTGCATGAAGCCTTTGCACCCTCCTTTGGGCTCACAGCTGTTCAAATAAAGCCCCAGCAGGTTCTCTCAGCAGTGCGTGGGGAAAGGGGACAGGCACAGAGTCTGCACAAAGCTGCTGGCTAGATTTAGCGGCTTGGAGGGAGGGGGAATCCAGCCTGAGGAGGATATTTTGCCCAGGTCTGCTCTATGAGTTTCATATGGGGCCAGATTTCAGCCTTAGAGATCAAAGTACAGTAATTTTTTGAGGACACTTATGATTTCCCCAAATTCTGCCCCTTTTGTTTTTATGTGCTGAAGGGAATTTTTTCCTGTAAAGTCATAAAGCTTGTATTGCTTTTGTTAAATTTTTCCTCGTTCTTGCCTTCAGGAGATGGAGAAACATGTGTACTCCATATTGCCATGATAGAAGACCCTCTAAATTATTAGAGTTAGGCTAGATTTGTTTCTAATACTCATTTCTTATACCTTTTAAGCAATATAATCCGCCACTCAGAGAGTGGCAAATATTTTGTTTATCTACTTTGTTTATCTACTTTGAAGATGTCTCATGTTTGACTGAATGATCAAATCCTCATTTCTGTAAGGGATATACTTAATTAAGATTCCAAACCAGGAAAACTGCTGTTCTTATAGATAGATATGGAAACATTCATTCACATCTTCATTTTTGCCCTGTAAAAGATTCACCTCATTTTTTTTAGTTTAGAATTTATCAGCTTCTGAAAACATAGTGGATTGTACCTCTTTGATATAAAAAGAATTTATCACCATGTCAAAAGATAATACTTTTAGTTTTTTTCTCTGTCCATGATAGTTATCATATTGGTGGCAATTTTTTGTGCCAAGGAAGAGGTATGTTATTAAGTTCTGATTGACATTTTAAGGTAGTATATGTTTTATATGAATGTTACTCTTGTAGACTGTGTACATTTTTATTTCTGTATTTACAAAAGGCTTATAACATGATTTAATACAAATGAGACTAGCTAGTTTTACAGTACAATAAAGCACGATTCATATTATGTCAAAGGGATGTATACTGTCCCAGGTACACTCTGGCAATGAAGCTGAATGGGGTGCAAATCATGGTAGAATCTGACTCTTATGAAGACAATGTGGGGAGTCTGAAGGGATCATTTGCTTTACAGAGTTGCTCTCGTGGCTCTAGATGGACATTAAAAGCAATAAGATCCTCGGGCATCACAAGGGCCTTAAAGGGGACATCATCAGTGCTCACCAGCTCAGCCATGGACGCTGACGAGGGTGATCAGACCTACCTTCTCATTGAGGGGACGGAAGTCTTCATCCAGAGAGACGATCCGAAAAAGAACTGTGGAGACACGATGGAGAGAGCAAGAGATTCTCACTATGAAAATTGCAGCTGCTCTATCAGGCACCATGAGTCATTGAGGCAGGGGCTGCGTGCATGCCTGGCCCAGACGGAGTGACCAGTGGGCACATGGCAGGGTAGGATGCATGCACCACACTCCCCAGGCTCGCGACTAGCAGGGGGAAGTGGTGGAGGGAAGGCAGGTTTCCAGCCTGTTGTACTAACTTGGTGACGAGTTGTGGGGTCTGAGGAGCAGGGAGGATTTCCTGCTGTGTACCATAGGCATGCATATGGGGTGTGCCAGGGCAGGGAGGATTTCTTGCTCTGTATATAATTCCCCACCTGATTCCCTGTACCTGTTTGTCCCGGTTTGTAGATGGGCTTGTCTGTCTGGACAAAGACCAGGCTCTCTGAGTTCTTGACCAGCACCGATTTCCGGCTCCTGAACTCCAGCGTCGGCCCCTTCACCAGCACCGTAAGAAACGCTGCTGCTGGGCTACTGGACTTTGGAACCTGGAGAACAGCAAAAGAATCCCAAGCACTGCTACAGGCTGGGGACTGACTGGCCAAGCAGCAGTTTGGCAGAAAAGGACCTGGGGATTCCAGTGGATGAGAAGCTGGATATGGGTCAACAGTGCATCCTGCTAGCTAAGGTGGCTAGTGCCACTAGGGCACTAATTAGGGTGCATTAGTAGACGTATTGCCAGCAAATGTCGAGAAATGACTATTCTTCCCTCTACTTCCTGAAGTGTAGACAGCACCAAAAGTGGAGATAAGGTACTTCTACTTCAGCCACACAATTAACATAGCTGATGTTGCTTATTTTAACTAGACTTTGTCCTGTAGTGTAAACATACCCTTAGTAACTATTAATCTTGTCTGAAACTCTGCACAATTGTGTGGTGTGAGTGGAGGATGTATAAGTGTGACAGCCCTTACAAATGCCCAGATGATCACGAAGCGGGAACCTTGAAGATAACCAGGAAACAGCCATTGTGTCTGAGGCTGAATTAGCAGCCATTGATGAACCCTGGAGACAGGTGGAAACACCCTTCTCCCCACCCTAGAGTGAGACACAAGACTAGGAAATCTGACATTCCCCATCAAAGGATAACTCTGGAGAACACAGATTAACACCTCCTAAGGATGGATGGTTGCAGCAGGACACTGCAACACTCCCAGCCCCCAATGGGAACTGACATGTATAAAGTGGGGATCTCTTGCCACAAGAACTCTGGGTTCAGTCCTGCAAGCCAAGCCTCAGAGGAGCCCTGAACTGTGATTGACAAGAACCCTATTCCTCACTCAGTCTGTTTGTCTGGTAAGACTGACTACCATGTGCGTGATAGAAATGTAGCCATGTTAGTCTGGTGCACGTAAGAGATGTGCGTGTAAGAAATCCCATGTGCTTCTTAAAAGCAGTCACAGAGTGTGGGGAGCCACCGGGCCCTGCACCCCCATCCACAGCCAGTTGTGAGACTCAGCCAGCAAGTAGAACGGAAGGTTTATTCATTGACAGCGCAGCACAGACTTCTTGTTATAGGAACCAGGAGCAGTCAGTACAATCCATCTTGGGGGAGAGGGGCCAAGAGTCAGGGCTCTAGGCCCCTGATTGGCCCAAGCCAGGTAGGCTCCCCTCTCACCAAGCTAGCTGAAAAATTAACTCACACCCCCAGCAGCTCCTTACCCAGCCCCACCTCCTGCTGTGTCCTACTTCCCAGGCAAAGTGTCACCTGACTGAATCCTCCACCTAGCTCAGGTGTCTGATGACTTGGGCCATTCCCTACATACCTTCCCTCAGGAGTCCCTCCCCAAAGATCCCATTCCTCGCTGGGCACCCCACACACAGGCTACGTCTACACTGGCATGATTTTCCGGAAATGCTTTTAACGGAAAAGTTTTCCGTTAAAAGCATTTTTGGAAAAGTGCATCTAGATTGGCAGGATGCTTTTCCACAAAAGCACTTTGTGGAAAAGCGTCCGTGGCCAACCTAGACGCGGTTTTCCGCAAAAAAAGCCCATTTTCACGATCGGGGCTTTTTTGCAGAAAACAAATCTGTCTACACTGGCCCTTTTGCGCAAAAGTCTTTCAGAAAAAGACTTTTGCCTAAACGGGAGCAGCATAGTATTTCTGCAAAAGCACTGACAATCTCACATGAGATCGTCAGTGCTTTTGCGGAAATTCAAGCGGCCAGTGTAGACAGCTGGCAAGTTTTTCCACAAAAGCAGATGATTTTGCAGAAAAGCTTGCCAGTCTAGACACAGCCACACAGTCACTGCAGAGCAGCACAGGCCAGTAGGAGTCACATACAGCATAACAAATAGTGAACGCAAAACTAGAGTGAACACTGTGGCTGCAAGAGCCACAATCCCCACTACATCACATATGCATAACACCAGCCCCCCTAGACACACCTTGCCTCAGTGACCCACTGCTAGGCATCTAACCCTTTACCTAATCTGAAATGGCCACTCATCATTGGCAGGGGTGTGTGGACCTGCAGACTTTGCCTCCCCATGGCCCTAGTAGCCTCAGGCCTTGCAGCCTGGGAACTCCCCTGGCCAGAGCTTCCCCAGCTCTGCCTGCTTTTCCCCAGCCCTGCTCTAACTACAGGGTCCACAGCCTGGAAGTGAGGCCAGGCGTCCCCAACTCTGCCTGACTCTTCCCAGCTCTGCGCTGGCCCGCCCAGCACTGCTCCATCTCGGGAAACCACCAGCTTCTCTGGCAGCCAGGTCCCTCCTGCCCCCCAGCCCTTATTTATACTGCCCCAGCTGAGCCCTCATTGGCTGTCTCTGCCTCAGCTGCTTGCTCCACAGCTCCAGCCCACACCCAGGGTGGGTTTTACCCTTAAAGGGCCAGTGCAGAGCAGATGTCCCGTCACACAAGCCTTTTGTTATCTAATCACCCTACCTCCCTCTGTTTATAAACAAACTCCCTGCCCCACGGGGAGGAGCACAAGCTCTGCTGAAGTGAAGAGCTGCCTCTGGGGGCTAGGGCATGTGCTTTAAGCAGACCTCAAGTATGAAATCCGGGGGTACAAACTTCAGGAGGAGGTAACAGCACCCCTTAGTCTCCCCACCTCTGCCAACAGAGCCAGCCACTCCGCAGCCGGTAGCACAGCATCTCCCAGCTGGGGCTGGGCATGGAGCTCCATACTGACTGAAGAAGCCCACTCCAAACGAGTCACCCACCACACAGCCGGCAGGAACGGAGGTTTCCTTAGAATGTCTCTGACCGGAGCTTGCTGCCTGCTGTGGTTTCTGACGGTGCCTGGCCTTGCAGGGGTTTGTCCCGGGCTGTCACTGTCTTACAGGCTCAGGTCACAAGCCCCATGGGGATCAGATACTCACGGTGAATGGGACGCACTTGAAGACGTCCTTCCCGGTAACCACGTCTGCGATCAGACTCCGGTTCTCCCCTGCATGCTCCAGCGTGGCGCTCAGCGTCACAGACTCGTTCAGGTGGGTCAGCTGGATACAGACCTTTTCAGGAACTGTAGTGTGGATCAGAAAGGGCACGAGGACCATGTACTGCCTGGGAAGGGAAAGACAGGGTCAGAGAGGCAGGGCTGGGGGACAGAGAAGGCGTGGAGGGAAAGGCATGGACTAGTGGGACAGCCGAATCCTGACCACCCATCCAAACTGTAATTCATGCACACAGGATGGGGACTTGCATATGGGGTTTGTAAAACGCAACATGCCTGTCTGCTTAGCCAGCTGGGCACCGAGCACACCCCTTGGAGTGAAGGAACTTGTTCTGTGTCACCTTTGAGTGCTGCTGCCCAAGGGCTGTTTGCTCAACCTCCCGGCAAGCGTGGGGTGGCTCAGGAAGCTCCAGGCATTACCTGATTTTTGTGTATCCCACAGCCCCGTACTGAGACTACCAAATCTTATCTGAGCATCCAGGAGGGAGCTCCTCTGAAATGCTTGTGCCCACGTAGAGACTGGCAGCTTGTACTCAGGCTCTCACCTCCTCTCCCACCGTCTGTCCATCTGGGCGTGTCACCTGCTGCCCTCAGTGAGGGAGGGATGCAAACGCTGTGTGGGGCCTGGCCTCTGAATGTAGG